CATGTCTCCTTTCTCCATTATGCTGCCGCGTTTTAGATCTACTGAATAGAGTCACAGTCCAATGGGCTATAGTGCTCTAAACGTACAGAACTGGCCAATACGACGGCTCATTTTGATGAACGGATGATATCTGCAGGGGGAGCAATATGACATCCAATTTTCATAAGCTACATATATGTGCACAGAAAAACCTGGCTTCGTAGATCTTTGTTCAATGTGAATTTGCTAAAATTATCTCTCTAAAGTTCTCTAAGGTATCACCTTTCGGGCATATAACATAATTGAGAGCAAACTAATTGGACTACAGTTAGGTCAGATTTCATACTTCTAGAAATCTAGTCGCTATGAAAACTGAAATTATATGGGAAAGTATCAAGTAGTAGTATCAAAATTTGTAGCAGGAATCATGAATAAAAAAATCGTGACTTTTCACCTTGTACAGGTGTATAGGACTGACTTCTCAGGACTCAAGATAGTGGTTGTAATTAAGTTGATCACGTTAGTGATTAGACAACGTTGCTGTGTAAAAAATGTGTCTTCATGATGAAGCATTTCTGACACATTCTTCGTGCTGTCTCAGTAATCGTCCTGCAATGTTGGTGTGTAAACAAACTAGGCTAACTAAGTGAACACTTCTCCATTTATCACTTGTTAACAAGCCCACTTTTTTGTCAGCAGACCATATATCGCTAAAGACAGTATTCTGTGGAGGACATTTAAGGTAAATCGTTTACAAAATGCTCGCGGTTTAATTTGAGCCATAACACTTCGTCGAAGATGCAAAAACGATTGTCTCGCGATAAATAAGCTGGCGCGAAGTGAAAAACTCACAAATTAGCAGTCATGAACATTTTATTGGGTGAATTACGCACATCGCACTCCCATCGAGGTGTCATTGCAGGCGTTTCAAGCGAGCGTGCGGATTACATTAAATGGATGGTGACGAATTTGCGAAAGAATTATAGAAGTTCTTCATCTATACAAGATGATCCAAAAGTTTCGAAATTGCAAGATATATGGAAATAACCAAGGGAAATTGTAAAAGTAAGATAGTCGAGATGCGGGGTTTTATCCTGACTATTTAGTGCTGACCTTTAAAATTAAATGAAGGTCAAGTCGATCTTTTCAACGAAATCCTGTATATTTCATCCCGAGAACGGGAAGAACAAAGAGTTCTACGTTTAGGTATGACCCTGAGTGTAAATTATTTCGACCTGGCCGGGGAAATTGAACCTCTTCCTATCATCCAGTCCTTTTTTGCTTCATCATTACAAACATTCCTGAAACTTTGTCAAATGATGCTCTTTCAAGATGATTTTGCAAGGACATTCAAGGTTGCAAATTAAATTTTCGGTTATATCCATTACCGGAGTCAAAAATATCGAGTATCATTCAAAAGAATTATCTCGATATTGATTCGAGCATAGCCAGAGAAACATTGGACTCCTACTGCCTTTAGGTCCTTATTTTCCTATTTCTATTTATATCTTCAAAAAGATCTACAAAATCTTTACAATCGATCGTTTTTATAGCTATACCTGAATGTACAAGTTTCTACTGCATCTATTTCCGCAGCCAAAACTGTAGGGCTCCGTTAAAAGGAATCGCTTTGATGTTGATTTGGCTCTCAAGGTTACGCTCAAGGTCAAACTCAGTGGGGGGGAAAAGCAAGCCCATATTCAACAAAGTTTTGACATCAGACGAAGTAGCTATGGTCCCAAATAGTGATGAATTCAAAGAACCTGGTCAGGTCCAGGCTGTTGGGCAAGTCCTGATGCCTGACGTGATATAGTTTACTTGTTTAGTGTAACACCTGAAGCTTATCCTGTGGTTTTCATGCTGGTAGGACTCCGTGATTGACTGATCAAATACAATCATATACCTGTGAGTTACTTTTTCACCGACTAATACAAATGCTTCCGTCGATCCGATCACCATCTTCTGGTTTACAATTCGAACCAGTAGCTGCTAATCACTTTCACAGTGGTCATTTCTGGTAATAGCTATGATTGTGTGCTGTCTCGTGTCGATAGATCTCCTCAGACGAAGCCTAGACCGCGCTGATGAGTTGCCAAAAAGCACGAAACAGCTGTTTATGGTTGACGGTCTGTAGTCGGCCGGCCATGAGCGTCAACAAACTGTTTAGTTGTGCAATAACGAGTAGTCCGCAACTACTGTACCGCCAGAATCGGAGGCATTCAAGCGGCCACGGTGCCGACCAAGCTAGCAAATGCGAACTGAGATCCTTACAGTTCCAACTGATAGCTGCTATTCACTGTAGCAGTGCTCAATTCTGGTCATAGATGGTACTTTGTACTGTCCTATTTCGATAGTTCCTTACTGACATTTCGGCCACCATGGCGTCCTTTTTCATTGTCAGTTGTACTTTCACAAAAGGCTACCGAGGCAGGCGAAGGAACAGTAAGTAACTGTCAAAACAAAACAGTACAAGAGCTTTGTGTCAGTGTCATTGGCCAACCTCCAAAGAGATGATCAAGAGAATAAAACTGGATTAAATTTGTACGCACGCTGTGGAGAAGGGACGCGACTTGCGTCGTGTGAAAATGTCAATCAACAATTTTCAAAATGATGCCAGGAACCGACAGCCGTATGTCAAGCATGGTCGAATGACACTTTGTAAGCGATATGAATCGCCTGCCTTTTCCACAATATGCTTGCACCTTGAGGCTCGGTTTTTCAAATGCAGGTTAACTGTGATTTTAGAGCTATCCAGAAGTAAACTCTTAAAATATGTTTTTTAATGTTAGGTTTATCGTAAAATAGTAGTTCACTTCAACCAGAAGGTCATCAACTAGTTAACTAGAAAGTTGTAGTTACACCGAAAGTCCGAACCTTTTTTGATTGAAACGTAGAGCATCACAAAACCAACAAAACCCGACATTTCAGACGTAGAGGTAGCGTTTCCAGATCAACCGTAACACTTTAGTTAAACAGAGATTGAAAAACGAATTTACGGACAACTGATAGTTAATCAAGTACAAACTTGAAAGTTAACCAGCGATTGAAAAAACTGGCCAAAGTGATCTGAAAAATTACATTCCGTCTTTTCCAGGTCGCTGACTAAGAATTCAAAATACTATGTAATCTGTTAGCCAAGCTCATAATAATGATTTTTGAAACAACTGAAACGGAACTGTCCTCCTCAAGAACAATACAAAGACATGATGCAGGACAGATTACAAAAGTGTGTAGCCTTTAAGTAATATATACTGCATGTCAGATGATCGGAATCGGGCGTCGTATGCAATACCTCTACAAAAAAACTACCGTCATATAGTTTTCTTGCCTTATGAGTTAGAACTATGTTTGCCTCATTCATAAAAGTTACCTCGGACCTGTAAGCAAATGCATTGCTAATAAAGACACTGAAGTGATACAGGCTGATCCATTGAACACGAGTTCAAATTGAAAGCGAACAAACCTCAGTTCATAAATCATCAGAACGAACGGAGCGGGCTCTTAAAGATAAAACACATTATAAAGCAATTTACTTTTTAGAATAAAATAATATTCTCGTAATTGTCTTGCGGCCTGTTAATTTAAAAGCCATACGTGCCATCTCGTACTTTTTCTACTCTGTCCATATATCATCGTGACCAGAAGCTGGGCCTGGATGAGTTACGAACATGTGTAGATGTTAAGGGCCGACTCCATAACGAACCTTATTTTGACAGCCTCTTTATATATTACATATTGGTTGAGTTCATTTTACATAAAATCGCTGATACGTTATTCCAGTTTGCTCAGTTAATTGCAGGTTCTCTTACAAAAGCTCAGTCAAAATGACCTCTTCCCTTAACACAACTACGCTACCAACAGTGCAACCTCAGCTGAGTGATATTTGTCCTCTCTAGCAGCTTTCAAGTTTATTTTGCTTATGTGCACAATCTAACGAATTTAAATTGTGAGATATTTAACTTTGCTTACAATCACATTTTGGCGGCGGTCCACGTCAGCAAGCAGCAAACATTTTTGGTCTCGAGTGCAGCTTCATGATTTATTGAAAGAACATCATTTTTAGGTAAGGTTTGGTCAAGGTTAGCTCAAACTCCAAAGTGCTTTGACAGCATCATTTCTGTTTAGTATGTCTCTGCAAAACGAACGCAACTATGAAATAGCTATTTATTGGACGGAGTAATACAAGGTCACATATTCGATACAAATGGTGTCATCTATTATAGGCTAGCGTTAGATAGGTTTTATTGATGCCCTGTCAAAATTTCACGACAATCGAACCATTCACGCGGAGTTATCGCGCTCAAAGTGACTGTATGTACGTTTTCAGCATCGGTCGAAAAATGTTGAGTACTTAGTCTGAAAACACCTTATTCGCCCTCGGACTGAAGATTATTAGCTATCTTTTTCAAGGAAAAGAGGATAGATATATTTTGAACTGAGATATCCTTATCTCGAGATACTGTCGTTAACCTCAAATATCGCTAATGTTCCTCAAGAGACGCAGGGGCAGGAAATGCTTACATGAAAGGTTCAAATTTGAAAAAATGAAGTGCGAATCATTAATTCGACGTACGTTTTATGGACATTAGAACGTTGGTTCGTGGGCGTAGCGGCAAAAGAGAGCTAGATCGCAGGTGTAAAAGGGTCCCGAAACTGTCCGTTAGAGAAGAGTCATCGATCAGTCCTCCCCTGAATAGCATCGAGTATGGATAATATACTCGAGGCTATGTCTTATCTGGGCCTTGTACAGAATGAGCTCATGCGGGGAAAAGTACTTCCCAGCACTGAACAAATAACCTAGCTTTTTTCGAGCAGCCTCCGCTATTGACGAGATGTGTTCGGTGTTTGGTAGAGCTCGGCCGTCCATCGAAGCCGGATGAGCGATATGACGCCTCTTATTAGTCAATGTACGGTACTGTATTTTGGAAGCACTAACTGTACAAGATTGTTGCTCCCCAAGCAGAGTAAACACTGATTAAAAGTGACAAAAATTAAATTTTAAGTATTCCCCTATAAGTTACACGAGGTTCGTCTTTTTTCAGCAGAATTTTCATACGTAACCCGTCGGGAAGAATGGGCACCGTCACTGGCGATATCGTGAAAAAATTCTTGGTAGCAGAATGATATCCCCGGGCGTTGCATGCTATGACATGCAGCCGTTCCTCGATGAGATAGGAACATACTTTTGACCATGACGGCCGAATATCATGTAAGAGAGTGGTTCCTCCTGAGGCTTTCGTGCCAGCCGCCGTACCGCAGGTCGTACCGCATTGCGAAAACCTCCGACGACCCATTAAAAAATACCTGCGTCTGTGTATCCCACTTTGGAGACGATCCTGCTGGGCAGTTGGTGGTTTGCGGTATACTCGTATATGAGCACGAGAAAGTCTAGGAAATAAAAAAGTGCTACTGGTATTTTGCTGCATATGAGGTTCACCATCATTTTATATGTATGGGCTTTTAGGTTTGCGATTCCCATATTGGGAGAATGTTGGATCTGAAATTCGCAAATTGGACAAGGCTCTTAGAGGCAGTAAAGTATAGAAATCGCAGTTTGACAAAATTAAGTTCAAAATTCGACGACAGAAGAAAAGTGGATAAATATTGCAATATTACATGATCTTGTAATCATGTAACTGTGATTTCGGATTAAAATTGTTGTGAATGCCTAATATGACTGACGTTGTGGGTGCAATTGTCGTAATTCAAGAAACAATATCATGTGAATTATTGCTTTTATACCATGTAAACATATTTACTGAATGTTTTCGTAGTTTTCTTAATATACTTATGTTATTATTTCATATCCATATAATTTACGTTTAGTAACTATATTCAACTAAAATAATTATATAAATAAACTACAAACAGCCTGTTTCCTCATATATGTTGAATTAATCGAAAAATATTTTTCAAAATTACTCTTCCGGAGTAGATGTAATTATTTATAACGATAACTACAGTGCTTTACTCTGAAATATCAACAATCTAACTGATAAAAGCACTAAAAGTGAAGACTCATATGTCATAGTCGAAGGTGAGAGAATGTAAAAAGGCAGTACTTGTACCAGACAAAAAATAAAAGCAGTAGTTTTAAAACTACTACTTCTTTACCTTGATAAATTGATTTACTGCTTTTTTGCTTAGGGGATGTACGTAATACATAAGCAATATTTTACAAACTGAATGAATAAGTATTCTTGTTACATTACATCTTCTATGATATATTTTGTAATTGTAGTTAATCATAAAAGAAATATATTGGCGACAACGTTAAAAAGGGTTGTGAGTGAGGTTTACGACCCTTTACCTAATTATGGCAACAGAAAGTCAGCAGCCAACTAAACAGTGAACGTAGGAATTGTTTATTTTTTCAGATTACTGAGGACATAATGTGATACAAACATTCCTTATCAGTCGTAACAGCTGCTAGGAAGAAGTTGTGTTTCTGATTAGAGCTAGTGAAGTGCGTCAATCGGGAGCTTGTGGTACGTCCCGAGCATCATTGCTTGATTAGCGACAAACAGGGGTGCGTTTGTAACAATTCACGAGTGCAGCCCTGTATGGCTTCTGGCATCAGCGGGCAACATCTCTATTTAAATTTTTGACACACATGGATCAAACGTCAACACGATTTGACACATGACTTCAGATTTTGTTAACATATGCTGCTAAGATCACTTATTTTAGTGTACGCAACATTCATCAAGTAAGGTCAGGAGCTGAGCATAGAGATCACCCCTAATATACCAGCTGCTCTCAGTCTAGCCAGTGGATAACTCTATTGGCAGCTCACTTTAGATTAGTAGCTCTCGAATCTTCGAAGCGATCATATACCTGTTAGACTCTGTTAAGTATCACTACGAGGAAGTGGAACCTGTTCCATCAAGGAGCAAGTCTGATTAGAATTTCCTATAATAGTTAATGCAATAAAGTTGTTTGCCATTTTCCTATCGCTGTCATGACGGCCATATCGAAAACACATCATCTACTTAATTGATTCTTCTGAAACTAATTTGACATCACCACGTACAGTTGTCATCGAAAATGGGCGGAAACCGTTGACCGAAAGCAAGCAACAAAAAGGCTCTTAAATAATCAGACGCTATACCTATATAATAGTTAACACGTTACTATAATAATTGACATGATTAATGACGTCTCAACGACTTGTTAACTTTTAATAATCTTCCACGACAGAGGCAGAATGATTAATAATATTTTTCTCCTAACTTCGGCCAGTGTTGTCAGGCGTTAAAAATAAGGTGCACATCGGCATCGGATATCGAAAATGTTGCCTCAGAAAAGCAGGGGTGGTGCGGGTTCGTCTATAATAAATCTATGACACTAGTTCAGTGGATAGTAGTATTGTTTCGTAAGCTTTATACAATGAAGGGTATAAGGTCATGTGCTCGTTTATCTATGGCCTGATAGTCAAATATTCAGTCTGAACTTTAGTGGAAAAGTAGTGTACCTAAATAAATCAATAGGACGATTTTTCCTTAAGATGTGCATAACATGTATACACTACCGTGCAAAAGTATAAGGGCATCGTCAAAAAATTCTATTTTTGGAATTTGTCTCTGGTTTTTATTTTGTTTTATTATTAAATCTGGTATATAAATTAGACAACATAATACAATAACTATATTGTTATGATTTATATCCATTTGCATTAAATTAGCTCATTATTATTAGTCAAAATGATGAGATTATGAAGGAATCAAAAATGCTTATTTCATATTTGCGCTGTAATTTCAAGTATAACTATTATTTTATTCTGAAGTATTCAAATATGGACGCTAGTGTCTTAAACAATCATTCTGGATCATTATTTGAGTGCGTGTCTAATAAAATAACAGCTCTTTCCCCGATAGCACGAAATATTCATTATATATTTATTTAATATAGTATTTAATAATATTTTTATGTTGCTTAAATATTTGTTTTCTTAAACAAATATTCAATAAATATTTGTAATATAACATTTTTATTAAATATTTCTTCAATATCTTTTAAATATTTTAAATACAATATTTCTTTCATAATATTCATCAAATATTTAATTTTCAATCAGTGGAAAATATTAAATCTCCAACATTTAGAAAATATTCATTAAATATTTTCGGCTACGACGCATGTGCGTGTAACCTCGAGTGACCAATAGGATAATAGCAAGCTGTTTGTCGGCATTCATTTTACCTGTGACTTTCACTATGATAGCGTGCTTCCTGTGTACCTCCAATTGGTTCATTTTTTTATGGAAAAGGGAAAAGGGTAAGTTTTGCGATAATTACATAGCATAATTTAACTGACTAGCAATTATTGTGCCAGCTGAGTATAAAGGTATTCACAAGACCATAAATAACTAGCCTTGAAATGTAACAGTTATTTGGTATTGATGGATTTATCTGAGAATGGATACGAACATTATGTTCATAACATCCAAATGAAAAGACATATAATCGCAACTTGATCGAGATATATCAAAGACGCTTTTTTCACACATCTCAATTATTAGTATTTTTACCGAAGTACGTTCAAAAATTTTAACAGTCGAAAATACTATACATTTATCCCTTGAATTATAATATGAAATCTCAAAATAATTATGGCTAAGTTAGCTCACTTACTAAAGAAGTCAAATTTCAACAAAATCAATAAGTGGTCTATTTTCAAAAACCTTTTCTTTAAAAGTTAGTCAAATTATCAAGTTGTGCCCAAGGACATTTTTCATCAAGATATCTAAAATAACATACCAGGTTTTCTTAAAAATTAACCAAATCTCGAATTATCATAGACAGAAAATGTGGGGTCCTTTTAGGTGGATTATAGAGCTGCTTTTCATTTTTTATTTTTTTTTTTGGTGAGGGGGGAATGCGTTTACGCACCATACCATAGCCCGAGCTACGGCGTGTGTGGAACTCCAGCTTGTCTTGAGGAGACCACCTAATACCCTAAACCTCCGCGTGGCCCGACTCATCAGCGTCTCGGTAGACCATGTGTTGTGCGTGACCTGCGGTCTGCTACAACGTCTCCTCATGTGTTTCAGACTCTGGGAACACCGGGTTGGTTCCCTTTACCTCGCACATTCTATCGATGTCGTTAAGCGGTCATCGATAGAAGGTCTGCTAGGTTCTCTTGAAACTCTTGTTTTCGAAAAATCAAGAGTTTCAAGTCCTCTTACCACTATGTTGTTCCTGGTCCTGGTCCTGGTGGGTCCTGGTCGTGGCGGGTCCTGGTCCTGTCGGGTCCTGATCCTGGTAGGTCCTGTTCCCGGTGGGTCCTGGTCCCGGTGGTTCCTGGTCCTCTGCATTCACGCCGTGGGGGGGGGGGGGAGCAACCGCGGGTTCTCCTAGTCTCCTAGTCAAGGTTCCAGTTAGCGGGTGCCAACTGCGACCTTGGTCTAGGGTACCGGGTTCTGCGGTTGCGAGGCATCTCGTCCGGATCGTAGTCCATGAGGAATCTTAGCTGCTCGTTCGGGTGGTCCTGAGCTTTCTGGAAGGTCTTCTCCGGCTTTTTTCCTCATGTACTCGTGAATAGTGTCCCAGTGCAGGTCCCTACGCAAGGTTGAGTTTCTTACGTAGGATGGTGCACCGGTGACGATCCGGAGTAGCTTCATCTCTAGAGCAGCAAGTCGCTTGCGGTAGCTGGGGCAGCGTACCCCCAGACTGCGGAGGCGTAAGCGAGCTGAGGTCTGGCGATGGCCTTGATCAGCCGTAGCTTGGTCGCTAGCGGCATCCGGCTGTGTCTACCCAGTAATGGGTAGAGTTGAGCCATGGCTGCTCTGGTCTTTGCGATGACAGCTTCTATGTGGTCTTTTCAGGTGAGGGACTTGTTAAATACGATCCCCAGATATTTGATTTTGTCGCTCCACTGGATATCTTCGTCGAAGATGGATGCTTCGAGAGGTCTTGCAATCCTTCTTCGTTGGATGAAGATTGCCTGCGTCTTCTGGACGTTGATGCGGATTTTCCATTTCACGCACCAGTCCTAGATGTGGTCCAGTTCATCCTGTAGTCTCCTACGGATGATCTCGGGACGTCGATGCTTGGCGGCTACAGCAGTGTCGTCTGCATATACGGCCAGCATTGTGTCAGCTGTCTTCGGTACATCGTGAGTATAGATGTTGTAGAGCAGGGGGGCTAAGGCTGACCCCTGGGGCACGCCTGCTTCCAGCTGTCGTCTTGTTGAATGGCATGTACCAATCTTCACCGTGAACCATCTTTGTGTTAGATAGCTCTGGATCAGTTGGCACATGTTTGCATCGATTCCGGCGGCTTCCATTTTGGCG